CTTCTAACCGGAAGGAACTTAGTACCTACACCACGCGTATTTTCAGACTTTCACCATGGATCTAAAGCCAAATTAATTATCCACAACCACACTCTCTAACCGGATTCACCACGATATTCACCCATTTTCTCAAACAATTCTTTTTAAGAATTTCTCAAAATGTGCGAGTATGAAATCAATGGTTCAATGATATGTTCGATGGTATGTATGAGTTATAAACATTTCAATTTGTCTAGTTCTCATGCAATTTCTACAACACGTCAATGCTATCCTCCACCGATAGCCGAAATAGTTATCTCTAATATGACAATTAAAAAAAATATAATAGAGTATAGTCCACAATCTTACAATTTTCAAAACCTTATAAGGTGTTCCAATTGTCTCATCATTCTCAATACTCAATGCTCGACAAAACCATAGGAGTTCATCTTTTCCATCCATCAATTTCATTTTAGAAATCTAAACACAATTTCTAGGTTTTTGGGCAATTTGGGGTTTTACTCTCAATACAAGATTTTCCACCAACTCAAGTCACCAAATAAATCAATTTGAGAAAATAGACAAGTTAGAGAGTTTTTCTCAAATTTTATCCAATAGAGGATATTCATATTAACCGTAGCTTTTCCAACAAGCTCTAAATATCAAGAATAACAAATAATAACGCTAAATAACATGCACATTGTTAAGAAAGTCCCTACCTTAAGCAAAAATGGAGAATGGAACACTATCGAAATATCAACAACAATGAAAACCCAAACTTTTCATATTAAAACGTAGCCATCTATGCACTCTAGCTTTTGACCTCAAGAACTAGGGGTGAAATATGCTTTGAAATAGATGAAATCAAGAGCTTTATAGCTTAGGTTTTCGAAAATGGCAGAAAGGGAGTGAGAAAGAAGATAGAGATGAAAAAGTAGTTTTTTCACACACTAAGTTTGGTAACGTTTACGTTTTCAGTTTATATTTACAAAAATTTTATAAACTAGTTTTTGTTTATTTTTTGTTTATTTGTAGAAAAACATAAACTACAAGCGCGTTTGGTAATTGACAAAATGTTTAAAAAATTTTTAAAATATAAAAAAGAGTGAGAAATGGCAAGTGGTGGTGGAAGACGGTGGTGGAAAGTGGTAACGATGGGTGGTGGGTAGCTGGTGGTGGTGGGTGGTGGTGGCGGGTGGTGGGGGGTGGTGACAGGTGGGGGGCGGATGGCGGGCGGTGGTGGCGGGTAGGTAGCGGGTAGTGGTGGCGGGTGGATGGGTGACGGTGGCGGG